TACATCGTGGTATCAGAGCATGGTTTAGCCGGTTTTGTAGACCAAATATGTTTTTTTTTTTAAATGAAAAAGTCTAAGATACTCCATGGCATCTTGCATCCATCCATCAATATCATCCTACGGTCCACAAGGGGTCAGGGCGTTACACTCTTAATGAAACTCGATACTAAATACAAGTATATTTAAAAGTAACAAACTTATTGGAAGATCTTCATCTAGATGACTTCGAGGTGGTGCCCTCTCAATAGAGAATTAGAGTATTTCTCTTAAAAATTTGTCGAGCAGGATGAGCGCAAGGCCATTTAAGCGCTAAGTTTGAAAAACTTGAGAATGCATGATACTTATATGTGTGTTCTTACCGGTATTGTCACATGGAACAACTAGTTCAACGCTATCTTTGATTCCCACATTGCTTTGTTTTAATTACACTATGGTTATATTTAAATGGAAAGATATCTAATCTTTACTGCATGAGTATTGTATATTTTGAATATGGGATCTTATTGAATGTTGAACACGTAAGGAATTGTTGTATGTTGTTCAAAATCAACAAGATGTATGAAGAATGAAAAAATCAGTTTGGAGGACAAAATTTGGCATTTGCAAACACATAGGCCAAAATAGGCCATGGTCGCATAACCACTGGCAAGGGATGAACTATGCGATTGCATAGATTTGTTCTATATGACCGCATAGAAGGCTTGACTAGCTGTTAGTGACCATTTTGATCAAAAATCGGATGGCTTTTCGAGTGTGTTCAGTACCACTTCGTATGATAATGTTTGAAGGCTATAAATATGTAATTGATGACCAAGAAAAAAGATAGAAAACACATAAAATTATGTAGTCTTAATTGAGATTTTCATTCCAAAATGTTGAAAATCCATTTTCTCATATCCAAAACCCACTTTCTCATTATCAAGTTTTGGAGGATTTCACTAATAGTTGAGTATTAAATCCTTGTCAAGGGTTAATAAATCCTGCAAACCGTTTGCCAAGATCCATCGAAGCATCTTAATTCAATTCGAGAGGGAGTAAATATCGTTTGAAGACAATGATAATGTATTCAAGCCTTCTTCTTCATCTTATTTTTCATCTTCTCATTATTGTCCTTATCCCTTGGTTTTGTAATATATTTCTTCTCCATTCCCTTCTTTGTGAAGATATTTTTTCAACAGATATGCCCTTATCATCTGCTGTTCTCTCTGTCGCCACCGCCCAAAGTATATCTCCAATCATATTCCCAACCCCAATTATGTGTTGAGTGCGCATCTTCTATAGCACATTGCATGACGATGAACAGTCTCTCGGTACCACCAAGAAGAAGCTCGACATCACCCGTCGCTTGCCAAACTTGGAGTGGATATTATTGAGGTAGGATTTCTAGCCTCCTCTGAGGCTGCTTTCGAGGCTATGAAATTGATTGCCAGGGAGGTCGGAAAATGTTAATTTCGATGATGGCCAAGAGGTGTATGTGCCAATTATGTATACTTGTCATTGAATAGAATCTACAATATTGTTTACAAAATCTTATGATGATGATGATGATGATAAAGAAAGTGGACTCCCTCTTTGTTATTTTATTTTAAATTCATCCTCTATTAATAAGAAAATTTTTGCCACCTACCACATCAAATTTTCAACAAAAACTACAAAATTTGTTGTCTTTACTCTAAACATAATTTAGCTGAATTGATAGTTAAACAAGTAGCTGTCTTCTTCCCATGCATATTGCGGCTGGGATAGAAGAGAACTTCAATTCAATTTCTCATGGTAGAGCTTTTTTTCATTAAGAATATAAACAATTACAGCTAGAAAATCATTGGTTGCAACTAAAAATCAACTAATGTGGCTGGACATATTAAATTCTATTCAGTAAGAAATATAATAGTTTTTCCTCTTATAACTTCTCTTTCATGATTGAAGAATCATAATAAGTGATATCAGAGCTAGAAATATCAATTGGCCCGTGTAGTTTTCTGATACAACATCCATTTTGATAAAGTCGTTGTGAAGTTAAGATGTTAATGGATGAATCTTCATCACGAGCTATGATCAAGCTCACACCCACTAATTACACACTATAGAGGCCTCCGATGGAAAACGTCAATTTTAAGGATTTGTGGGATCCTTTGGAAGCCAAATGTATGAACCCTAAGCTTACTAAGGAGATAGAGTGAAAGAAGTTAAATAGGAAAACTATCGATCAAATTCGATAATGGATTGATCATAGCGTCTTCCACAATGTGGCACAAGAAACAGATGCATCTGCTCTTTGGAAGAACCTGGAGAACATGAATCGGGCAAGACCGCTCGAAGCAAAGCCATATTGATGAGGTTTGGTGAATCTAAAGTTGTAGAGTGGAAACTAAGTTGCCGAGCGCACTAGTGAATTCCAGAGCCTGGTGAACTAGTTGTTATATGTAGAGATGCCGCTCGGGGATGAAATGAAAGCCCTTCTACTTCTGAGTTCTTTTCCCGACAACTTGGAGATGCTAGTTGTATCTCTCAGCAACTCATCCCCAAATAGCAAACTTACGATGTCTATGTTCAAGGATGCTTTGTTTAATAAAGAGGCCAAGATAAAGGATGTTGACACGAACCAGTCACGTGCCCTTGTCACAGAGAACCGAGAAAGACAACAATAAGGCAATTGAGGCTAGAGGAGAGGTAAGAACAAAAGTAGGGATAGATCCATGGATGGAAAGAAACTTACTTAGAAGTGTTACTCCTGTGGCATAGAGGGCCACTTGAAGAACTAAAATTGCTACAAGAGCAGAGCCACGGCAGTTCGTAGCCAAAAAACACTAGTCACTATATTAAGGTAGATGGTTATTTACTCCATCCATGAGAAACGTCTTCACTTCTCAAGACAAGACACTGAGTGGGTGGTAAATACTACATTATCTTCCCACGTCACTCCACACAAAGACTTCTTCACAACATATAAAGCTGGCGACTTTGGTGCAATAAATATATGACATACCAGTTTCTCTAAGATTGTGAGAAATTGTGATGTTCAGATACAAACGAACATGGAATGTAAAATAACCCTGAAAGATGTCCGACATATGCCATATCTTCATCTAAATCTACTTTTTAGGATAGCCCTTGACAAATAGGACTATGACAATGACTTTAGCAATAGCACATAGAAATGAAAGGTGGCGCCATGGTTTTTGCCCGATGACATATTTGTGGACTTTATATAAGACTCAAGTGAAAATGCATGTAGACAACCTCAATATAGTGGAACGTGAGACTTCTCAAACTCTGTGGCACCAAAGACTTAGTCACATGAGTGAGAAAAGCTCAGTCTACATTGATAACGAATGAACTAATCACTATTACTAAGGAAGCTACGCTAGATCTTTGCAATCACTGTCTATTTGGTAAACAGGATTCAAACAGTCGATAATACGCAGTTGTTTTTGACGAAGGTAGTGGCGGCCATGTACACCCTGACTAATAAGTTAGTCGATGATAATTTACGCAACTTGTTTGGGCCACAAAGAATGCCAGACCGACACCTCTCTCTCTCTCTCTCTCACACACACAGAAAAGGGGGAGGAGAATCAATAAGTGATAGTGAAGTTTACCTTTAATTTGGGGTAGATCTTAGGTATTTATTGAGTGCAACATTTAAAAAAGAACGTTGGATGGAGGACACGTGGCCTCATTTGCGGGTCCGAAAAATCCTCTCATAGGTGTCCATCATCAATCTATATGTAGGTAGCCATTTAATGCTTCCAAGTTGATACATTGACAACCACTATAGAGAAATGTCACATCCATCATTTTATAAGATTTTTGGAATGGATCCTTGCCCATATGAAATTGGGGCATTAATTTTCAATGTGTACTGCAACGCATGATTGTCTAAATTTATCATTTATCATTTTTTCTTGCTTGTCATTACTTAAAGATATGGAAATAATTTATTTTGAAATGACTTATTGTCAAGTTAAGTTAATATTTGAGTGACATTCTTTAAATTTCATTTTTTCCTTAAATTTATTTTCAATCCCATATTTTCTCATTAACATAATTTTGCACGTAAATTTTAAATTTTTTCTTGTTTTTTAACCAAATAATTTTACAATATCTCAATCCATACTACACCACTAAACTTGTAACATATGAAAATATTTTGATATGAATTTTCAAAACATGACAAAACGCAAATTGTTAATTAGCTTAAAATACGAAAGTTCATTATATAATCAAATTTGAAACTACGAAATGCTGAATTTTATATACTTTAGAATCGAATATTAAATATTAAAACACAAATGCATTATGAATTTTGTATAAAATTAATTGGTTTCAAAATAAGCTTGAAACAAATTCAAATACATTGGGAGACTCTTACAAATATTTTACAAAATTGTTTTCAAACGTTTAAATTTTAGCATACATCATAAAAAAATTGGTTAGATTTTTTATTGGAATTATTTTTGGGGTACATAACCCCTTACATAAGGGTGTTCAAAATGGACACCCATCGCCTACGACGCACAGAATAGGGGGGCGTTTGGTGTCAAAAATGGACACCCTTATGTTCCACCTTATGTACCCCAAAAATAACCCCGTTTATTGGTCATCAAATTTTCAAATGTGTCACCTACATTTTTCTTATCATAGATGATCACCGAACTCACAAAACTATTTTGGTGAATTTATTTCATATTTGTGATATGTTAATTATCTAAGCTATACGGAGACGAACTTATGAAATGTTATTAATAAATTAAAAGACGTCACTCCTACACCAACACGTTATATTAGTTTCAAATCATTTATTTATATATTTCCAATTTACTATAAAAAATAGTTATATAAAAACTAAAAAAAAAAAAAGGCATACGAAAATGAATTTATAGAAACTATTTAACCAAAATCATCATTTACGTAGCCTCAATAAAACCGGATACTTCAAAGAGTGACTTAACTCTTAAGAAAAATTTTAACTTTTAATATACAAAATAAATAAAAATAAAAGCTGAAGCCGTTACATATATAGAAGGCACGATACATATTATCAAAATCGTGCATCCCTGTCTTAATACTCTGTCTCTGCCGTTGCCAGCTCTGAGAGAGAGATTGTTGAAATGGGATCTTCATCGGAGGATGAGGGTGAAGAATACTTGTTCAAGATAGTGATAATCGGAGATTCAGCTGTTGGCAAGTCAAATTTGCTATCTCGCTATGCCAGAAACGAGTTCGACATGCATTCAAAGGCCACAATTGGAGTTGAATTTCAGACACAAACACTTGAAATTGACGGCAAAGAAGTTAAGGCTCAGATTTGGGACACCGCTGGCCAAGAGCGATTCAGGGCCGTCACTTCTGCTTATTACCGTGGTTCGTTTGGTGCTCTTATTGTCTACGATATTAGTCGAAGCTCTACGTTTGATAGCATCCCTCGTTGGCTTGATGAACTCAAGAGTATGTTTCTCTTTTATCTCGTTTCTCCTAATTTTGAATTTCGTCTCGGTTTTTTTAGGTTACCGATTTTTGAATGCTAATTCAACAAAAATAGAACAAGATTGAAGTTTCACGAATGTCAAAATATAATACAGTTCCGGTTTTTTAGATTTGTACTTCGATGAATTGATTCCCTTTTTGTGATTGAAAAGATATGCGCAAGAATTTAGGGGGTTACACATCGTGCTTCACTAATTATAAAAAGTTGAATCAGAGGAGAAGGGTACAACTTCTTCATCGATATGTACAATTTTGTCGTCTTGTACTTTCTACTAAATGGCTTTAGCTTTATTGAAATTGATTGTATGATGGTGAAATGATAACGTTTATCATTTTACACATTTTCATTTGGTTTATCAAGTGACAGATCTGTTGTATATTGCATATACCTTGTGGAGATAATTTTTGTGAAATCGGGCCATTAGAGTTATATTGTATTCTTTAAATTTAGAAAAATGTAAAGACTAGTGTGATAGACTCACAGGCAATAATAATTGGAGCCAGATCTGACTTTTATTACTCTTTAATGTATGTGATATACCTGGATTGTGGTGCTGAATAAAGCTTGTATAAATCTGAGCAAGTAATTGGTGTTTTTACTATTTGGGATAAAAGGAAAAGGGTAACATGTTAAATAATTGGATGTTGATAAGCAAAGATTTATAAATTTCCTTGATGGAGTGGGGTGGGGTTGTCTAAAAAGAAGTACAAAAGTTTAAATTATGAAAACTCATTGGTGAACCAATTGAAGCCCTTGGCGTGTGTTACAACTCTGCTGCCACCTTAAAATACATCAAACCTTTATCACATAGATGGTGGCTATTATGGGCCACATAGTTACACCATAGGTACATAGTGCTTCGAACAATATTCTTTTGCAATTATTAGTGCCTCTATACGACCTCTGCAATCTCTTTTGTTTTATGAACCTTGCTAGTAGGGTAGTGATTAAGACGAGCTTTGAATAAATAGCATGCTTTCGTGTTGCACCTTTATTTCAAAAAAAATGTTTTCTTTAAATGACAGTGGTGCAATAGATGCATGGAGATCCATAGCCTAGAGCCCCAATTTCAGAACTTGGCTTTGCAATGACAAAACATTTGACATTATTTAAATGAATCTGTCAAATTAACAAACCGGGTGCCAAGTTTCATGGATGAGCATACAAGTCATATTCAATAGGTTCCTTGGTGTATAGTATTTGTCAATTATATAATTTTAGTAGACTAGATGGAGATGGAGATGAATATTAGGTTAGAAAATTTTGAGAATTTCTTTAAATATAGAGGTTAAGAGCAGAACTAAAAGGGATTACACAAAATGTCTTTTTAGTCATAGAAGAAATAAAGGTGATAGTGGAGTCATGTAGAGAAATCTGGTAGTCAAAAGAGTGATTGTTTTATGTATTTAGCTTGGTTATTAATGAAGGAGAAAGACTTGAAAACGATTTAATGCATAGGACTAATGCGGATTGGATGAAATGGAGAAGTTCTACATGGATTATGTGTAAGGATCAACGGCAAGTTATACGAAACAGTAGTAGATGCTTTAGGTACAGTGTGTTGGCCCAATAAAAAACAAGATGTCCATAAGATGAAAATTGCAGAAATGGAGATGTTGAGAAGGATACGAGGCTATAATATGATGAGTAAGATAAGAAATGAGAATCATTGGAAACAACTTGAGGTGACACTCATTTTAAGATAAGGATATTTTAAGTAGTTATGGCATGTCTTTCATGGATCTAAAGAAACTCTCACTCACAAAAGTTATGCAATAGTCTAAAAAAAGGAGAGGTAGACCGATAATAACATGCAATTTTGGAGCTATTAAACTTGTGCTGGAAGGGATTAATTTGGAGCTAGAAATGGATTTTCCCTTATCAAATACTTGATTCTATCTTAACAGTATAATAGGATGAATTTCATGTGCTGTTATTAATCTTTGAAAAGACGAGAGACCATTATTTAGAGTGTTTACAGTTTGAATTTTCTTGGGGAAACATCCCTCTAGTTGATCTTCATGATTCATGATCATATTTGGTTTCTGGGAGCTTAGGNTTACAGTTTGAATTTTCTTGGGGAAACATCCCTCTAGTTGATCTTCATGATTCATGATCATATTTGGTTTCTGGGAGCTTAGGTGTCTCAAATTGAGAAATTGACTTCCACTTTGTATAATATCTCAAACATTATCCAATAGATATTCAAGTAGTTGATATCCACCAGCCTGTTCAAAGGCATAACTAAGATAATCACATTCACTTACAAAAACGATATTTCACTGATGATAGAGGGAACACACAAGGAAATTATTATCCGATGGCTCAGATAAATTTTCTAGATACACCTTCAATCCAAATTATGCAGTTAGTAGATTGTTCCTTTGGTCTTGTATGCTTCTTGAGAACTGTTTCACAGTATGCACTGGTTTTTACATTCTATAATACCCATGTCATATTACTTAATTCTTGATATGTCATATGGAGTGTGAGCTAAAATATACTCTTAATACAGCTCATTCTGATACAACTGTTGCAAGGATGCTTGTGGGGAATAAATGTGATTTGGAGAATATAAGGGCTGTTAGTGTTGAGGAAGGCAAAAGCCTTGCTGAAACAGAAGGGTTGTTTTTTATGGAGACTTCTGCATTGGATTCAACAAATGTTGAAAAGGCTTTCGAAATTGTTATTCGCGAGATTTATAATAATGTCAGCAGGAAGGTCTTGAATTCTGATTCTTTTAAAGCAGAATTATCGGTGAACAGGGTTTCTCTCGTAAACGATGGCTCCGATGGATCTAAGCAGACTCAGGGATCCTATTCTTGTTGTTCCAGGTGATCAGAGCCCTATTTCATTTGCAAATGTGTACTACTAACCAATGAATTCCTTATGGTTGCTTTATATATTTGATTTGTTTATTAATTTATATTACTTATAGAGGGATTCTATAATGACGCTGAAAGTGCTTTGATACTAAAGCGGAATTCTTGTCATGCAAAAGAACATTTTGAATCAAATGTCGTTTGGAATGGTGAAATTGTACAATTTATACTCTTTTCACATGTTTGGTAGAGTGAATTGGACTCAATGGTCTTATAGAGAGAACGTTGAAATTTTGTTTAAATGTTTGAAGATAGTCTTATCGCCTTCACTTCCTTTGCAGGCTCTTCGTCAAAAATAGTGTGCCTACTCACACTTAATGCTGTCTGTTCAAGCCATCTAAAAGATTACAACTTAAAAGAAATTTTTTATTAATTATAAGAATCAATTTTGAAAACATGACAAGGAACAAGGATAAAAAAATATATCATCCATTGAATTTAAAAAGAAAAAAACAGCCAAAATAAGCTCAGAGTTCATGACTTGTAAATAGTGGCTGCATATATAGACTTCGGGAAGCTCTTGCCCCTCAGCGTTTTGGAGCTTTAGCTAACTCATTGAGATCTCTAGTGTCTTGCCATTTCGAACCCATTCTTGCTGTAAGAATAGTCTTCGATAGTCTTGTCTATTTCAGCTTGTGTGTTCATAACAAAAGGACCGTGCTGAACCACTGGTTCATTGAGTGGCTGCCCACCTGCCAAAATAAATCTCAATGGATTGGAAGATTTGTTCCATACACTGAGACCCTCTCCCGGACCTAAAACCAAGACATGGTGAGCCTTTATGGGCGCCAATTTCTGTAGACCAAAGACCCCTTCACCTTCAATTATGTATACAAAAGCATTCCAAGATTCCGGGATGCTTTGATGATGTTGAGCATTGGGCTTTAGGGTGAAATCGAGATACATTGTTGGAGTTTGAGTATAAACTGGAGAGTAAACACCCATTGATTCCCCTGCAATGATTTTAACCTCAACCCCGTCTTTCTCTGCCTTTGGGATGTCCTCACTCACTAGTTCTTGGTACCTAGGTTCGATCCTGTAGAATAACTAGGAGGATGTGGAATTCAACCTAATGATAATTCATAAATATTACCTACTTGTCGGGGGCCACACGCACATGTTTGGTGTGGAATACTATATTACTACAATGGTTAAGAGATTATCAAACTTGTCACGTGTATATCTTCCTTACTCTTTGTAATCCTATTTAATCTAGGCACCCTAAGCCCTTGTTCGATATAAATTATAATTTAAATTTTTGTCAAAATCAAAGTCAACAATTAATTTTAACCACATATTTTATGGGATTCACAATTTTTCAACCACATATTTCATTATCTTTTATCAAAATCTGCTAAAAATCTGATTTTAATCTCCACCAAACCGAGGGCTAAATATGGACCGAAGGCCCGTGTAATAACTATTTTGGCTTCTTCCAAGGAGAAAAAGAGAAACTAAGATGACTTACATTTTGTCCTTGGCCGAGAGATTTATCCATAACTGCAAACCTCTTTGAGCACCTTCTCCTGCAGGCATTTCCGAATGAATTATACCCCTTCCTGCAGTCATCCATTGCACATCGCCAGTTCGTATTGTGCCCTTGTGACCCATAAAATCTTGATGAGTGAATGCACCCTGGAAAGAAAGGACAAATTTTTAAAACTTCTACCAATAGAAAACAATGTGTGGAGAAATAGCTTAAAAGTAACTTTTTAAGTTTCGCTCAAATTTGTCGACTCGGCAACTTACTTGTAGCATGTATGTAACAGTCTCAAAACCTATAAGACACAACATGAAATCGTGAGATTGATGGAAATGTAGAAAAAAATCAATCAATGGAATAATGATATAAATACCTCTATGTGGATGATCAGGAAATCCAGCAGGAGGTGAAACTGCAATATCAACCATCAAGTCATATTATTTTCGTAAAAGACAGACTGAACATTATTATTCTTTTCAAAAACAGGTTTTTTTTGTGTCTTTTATTGAGATCAAATTTGAAACAAAACCAAGTTGAGGACATCAAAAATGCAATTTACATTCATTTTCCCTTTTTAATATTGTCTAATAATCATACAATTCACCTTCAAATTCATCCAGCATGAGGAAGGGATCCAAAGACTTCAACTCAGGCCTGTAATTTATGAGAACATAAGAAACTAATTTCCATATGATAAGAAATTCTCAGAGTTTAAAGACAAACATTAATACTAACAAACACATCATTTTGCCATTTTTCTTGGCAAAATTTAAGAAAATACTATAAGACCTGTGAATGTCTGATCAAATTTTATACCAAAACATAGAATAAACAAAAAAGCCTTAATGAAACAGTTCGCAATTTCGAAAAGATTCAAGAAAATGTTTGTGTAATACCTTCCTATGCTTCTTCTAACAACAGCACCATCACCTTCATTCTGAGGCTTGGCCAAGATTTTCTTGGCAACCAATCTTGGCTGTTCAAATCCAAAACTTGTATTTGTACCTGATACAGACATGCTGTGCTGATCTTTCTGAATAAACAACACACTGTATGCCGATTTACTTGTCGTATTGATTCTGGTTATTAAGAAGAATCTTCTCTTTTATACAAATTCAACTTTTAAGGTTATCTTTCTCTATTCCAAGTTATTACAAAGCATCGTGTGTGTATTTATAAACGAAATTTGAGAATGGAACAGTGGGAAGAGAATAAAATAAGGGGTTTAGTAAATTGGAGGCGTTGAGAAATTTGAGGTGGGAACCCAAATATCCACCTTGGTTTGACTGGTCTGAGGTGACGTCAGCCTTGTGTCATCATTATGGAAAATCACCCACTTAGGAAAGTGAAATCTGGAATATTTTGAAATATACGATTAAATGAATATATTTTGAAATATATGATTAAGATTAAGAGAATATAATTTGTGAATAAATTCAGACAAGTCATTACTGGTTGATTTAATAGTAGTAAATTAAGGCTAGTTTTGAGCCACATTTTGAATATATTTTGAAATATATGATTAAGATTAAGAGAATATAATTTGTGAATAAATTCAGACGTCATTACTGATTAATTTAATAGTAGTAAATTGAGGCTAATTTTGAGCCACATTTTGAATATATTTTGAAATATATGATTAAGATTAAGAGAATATAATTTGTTAATAAATTTAGACGTCATTACTGATTAATTTAATAGTAGTAAATTGAGGCTAGGTTTGAGCCACATTTTTCCCCCAAAAAAATGAAAAAAATAATATATTCTTATACAGTAATTTAACATCATCTCAAACACACATTCTTAAAAAAAATAATATTACACGAAAATTCAAAACATTTCTTTATTTTTTAACCACACATTTTCCATCGATACATTATTCAAAAATGCATTCTAAGGAATATAATGTGACTCAAACAATGGCTGAATTAAACTTAGGCTATATATAAAACTACAAAGAATCGTAATTTTATCACCTTATTTTGATGCTTAGGTGACACAGATCTTGAAAGGATTTCTTGAAATAATTTTTACCAAAAACAAAGTAATTATTAAGTGGATTCGATTCGATATTATTTATCTTTTCGTAAAATTTCTTAAAAATTATTTTTAGAAAATATAAAGTAATTAATGAATGGATCCGATCCAGCAATATTTATCTTCACATAAAATTCTTAAATTTGTTATATAAAAATAAAGTAATTATTGAGTGGATCATATCCAATATCATTGATCTTGGCATAAAATAAAATTTAGAACATGGGGGTAGAGAGAATCATGTCATGCCAGTGTGAACAGTGAACTTTGTAGTCTTCAAATAATTCTTAAATGAATTATAATCAAAACTTTTGGAGGTGGGCTGCCAATAAAATGACTTCATTCATCCTTAAGCATTGCATTTGCTTCTTCTTCAATTTTTAAACAATTGAAATTACTTATAAGTATTATTTAAAGAAGTTCGGTCAGAAAAATAATTAATGGCATGGTCAAAATGAATATGCCACCTTAGTTTAGTATTTTGATTTTTGTTTTCTCTTTGGTTCAAGAATACAATATTCAATTTTGGAGTTTTTAATGTCATAATAAAAACCTTAAAATTATATGCAATTGGTACTGAGCCCGTTTGTTTCTCATTTTTGTAAGAATGAGAATGAAAAATATCGTTACTATGGGTCCCATACGAGAGATAGAAATTTAAATTTGGTGGATTAATGTGATGGATAACAGTCATATTTTTTATTTTAATGAAGAAAGAATGAGAAACAAATAATGAATGTATTGTAATATTCTTAATTCTTACACGTGAAATGAATTGTTCTTAGCTCTAAATCTTATTTCAAGTTGATAATAACACATTAACGCTCTTTAGCTGTCATTATAAAATTAGAACAAAGTTGGGTCTCAATAGGTGGTGTCGTGTGGCCTAATTGCACCATCATGCTTATGATGTAATTACGAATAATCATTAGTTTTTAAATCCTAACTATGGTAAAGATAGATAAAGAAGATTTTATGCTCATTTTCTTAGCGTCTGATACATATCAGCGTATAGTCGATAAATAAGTTATAAATTGGAGGAAATGGATTGAGAATTTGATGAATAAACTTGTGCATTGGGAAAGTTTCCACTTTCTTGTTAATTATACTCAATAAATTTTGAACAAATCGTTTGTGATTATTATGTTCATCATCGTTTTATAATTCCACTGCATCTAAATACCATGGTCAGTGTTTCTATTTATAACTATTAGATTAAGACACCCAAGATATACAGCATGAATTAAAGAACACTAAATTCTCGTTTGGTAGCAAATTTTCATCCCAAAAAAATCAGTTTTTTGATTCTGTCATTATTGACTTCTTCATTCACGGGTGAAGCCCACTTTTCTCTCTAACGATCAAAAAAACAATTCTCATAATCACCACCGAACAGATCCCAAGTATGTCTCATATATTTAGAATGTGTAAAGTGTAAAATTGCTAAAATGTCAATATTTAGACTATTGGGTTGGTTCAAAGTGCCCCCACCAGCCATTGCCACCGTACGGTTTTCCTAAACTAACGGACTAGATTTTCTATTGGTGAGTGTAATCCTTTTACTTTTACGAACCCTAAAGTCAAGACTTCTAGAAGCTTAGGTAATGCCATATCCATTATTTTTTTTTTCTTTTTTTTTACAAGGTGTCCGGGCTTGCGTCCGACTAGATCCTTGTCCCTGAACCTCCAGCCCCTCAGCAGCTCAGGGAGGTAAATCGCAAGATGTGCCCTTGTTGGCTCCCAGGTTCCCACAACTCATTTGGACTCCTTCCGCAAAGAGAGCTCTCCTCACTGGGCGTTTGTTCACACCAATGGCTTCCTCTCCATATGGCTCCCAGTGTTAACTCCAGGAATCGAACTCCGCACCCTTGCTTCCAGCGTCCCAGCGAAGTGATTGTTCCACCAACTCGGATGTACCCTGGGGGGCAATGCCATATCCATTATTAGGTTGACATTAAGATGCGAATGAGGATTTTGATATCTAAATATGTCGAGGCATTAGAGTTTGTCCATCTAATTTGGAAAATTTCAGTACTCTCCACAATCAACAAACGAATCTGTAATAATTAACTTAAAGTGTCTAAGAAAAACTCTTTAACCATAAGATACTCTCTATTTGAAATAGTTAATTCTTGAAATTATACTCCAAAAAATTCTTTAAATTAACATTTTAATTTAGAGAGTGAGTTTGACTCTCCAATCCAAATTTGGAGAGCCAAACCTACTCACTATAATTAAATGCATTCAAAGTATTTCAATTTTTAATATATAAAATAATAAAATAATCTAAAGAAAAACTAATTAAAATAAAAGATAAAAAAATAATAAATAATTTTTTTAGATTAGTAAAATTAAAAGTGTTAAATATAAAGAGTTTGTTGGAATATTTTAAAATTTTAATTATCTAAATTTATAGATGTTCTTTAAATAATAGAATATAATCTTTAAAGACAAAGAGTTTCTTGAAGACACTCTTATGGCCTGTTTGATTGGTCAAGAATTCCATGGAAAGTGGAAATTTAATTCCATCTTTTCATTTTTTTGGTGTTTGATTGCCAAAATTTTTTTTGTAATTCATTTTCCACCTTTTGATGCCACATAGACATTATTTTCTTGAAATTTTTTTTTTTTTTGGCTGGCAATGGAAACAAATTTCATCCTCAACACTAGTAAAATATATCCCTTTAATTGATAATTTTCATATAAAACAAAGTCAAACAAACACCAAAAAATACTTTTATTTCAACATTTTCCACTTGAAAAATTATATCAATCAAATACAATAATTTACAATTTCCAAGAAAATAATTTCTAGACAATTTAATTCCCTGAAATTCGTTTTTAATTCAATTCCATTTTTGCAATCAAACGGACCCTTAGTTCAGTCAAGTATGTAAATTCTTTTCATCAATTTAATCAAGCATGGCAACATTTGACAAATTAAGTGTGCTTGATCCCAATTGTTTGGAAGAATAAGTTTTGTAATATTGATTTTTTGGAAAATATGTTCTTAAAAGTAAGGAAAATTTTGGATTTATATATAAAATTATTTTATTAAAAAATATGTAATTCAAAATGAGTTGGATGAAAAATAAAATTTTACATAAACGAGCTCAAACAGGGGCATAATACGGGGTACTTTAAATTTTGACCCGGTCAAAGGAGCAAAATTTCAGTTTGACTTCCAAAAGAATGAATATTATGACATTGGCCTCTTGTATGGTAA